CTCTTTCTCTTTTTCTTTCTTTTCATAACATGTTATGAGCACGATTCTCTCATAATTTTTATAAGTGTAATCATTTGTCACATGTATCAAGATTAATTTGGTGAAAACGAGGCTGCTTCTTTTTCTTCTTCTATGCTTTTCTTTTGTAATTAAGAATTATGAGAATGGGAAGAGAAAAGTTCAAGAGGAAACCTACTGGTCGTCAACAGTTCCCCACTCCCGAATAGATGACGTTGCGACAGGCATGCACCAATCCATTTAGTTGGGATGTAATTGGCTTTGCGGCATGTTCTCAATAATAGCTTTGCGGTAGGTAATTGGTTACATATTTTTTGTTCCCAAAAAAGGCAGGTTATTGGTTCCATAAATAATTGCACGTTATGTATTTAATTGTTTTTTTTTTTTTGTTTATCGTTCAATTAGTTATCATGATCTTATTTTTTTAATACAAGTATAATTTATGAATCTAGTACTCTTATATCTCTCTATTACAAAATATTGTTGCTTCTGAAGTAACACACTATTATTGATGTTATATTTAGATTTTACTTGCTTTCCAAGAGCATACTTAAATAAAATCTAACATATATTATGTTTTTGTTCCTGAAAAGTAGATTTTTACACAATTTATGTTTTAAATAATAATATGTTTTTACTCCTAAAGAACATGACATTAAAATTTTAAAATTCCAGAAGAATATTGACCGATTTCTCTTGAAGAAATAATTGTAAAATCATTTTTCAAACAAAAAAAAATGATGATAATACTATGTTATCGTGCTCTCCAAGTAGCACATATCTCGAAGAATATTATATGCTCCTAAAGAGCAAGATATTAAAAATTCAATATTTTAGAAGAATATTGACATATTACTCTTGAAGAAATAATAATAAAATACAATGTGCTCTTGAAATAGCATATGTTTTGAAAAATATATCATATGTAATTTATGAATTTGTAGTTATCCCTGAAAGAAAGAATAAGACTTATGTTATGTGGACATTGATTATTATATGATTATATAATACTTAAACACATTCTTCGAAATTAAATAATTGAATTATATTTTATTGAACTAGAAGTTTAATTTGTTTGGCGTGACAAGTTGGACCATCAATGAATCAATAATCATGCGAAATTAAAAATTCTAATGGATATTCAATACCAGAAGATTTATCAATTCAATGAAATCCTATAAGATATTTATTCTCTTTCATGAAAATTTTTCATCAACTATCACTAGTAGAAATAGGGACTAAATTCCCTATATTTCTGAAAATTAACCATGATGATAAATGAGGCTCCATCATCCTCCATGTTGACCATCTAGATATTATTTTTATCTAATAGATTTGACACAAATACTAGAAAATTGCATGGTGTTCTCGACCCGAAGTTTGCGAAATAACTGCTCAAATTATGAGCTTAATTTTCAGATTATACAATCAAGACGGCGTGTATTGTTAATACTATTGATTCTAAATCCTGACTTTTTAATAAATGTTAGTAGATATGTCAATAAATAGTTTAAAATTATTATTTGTTAAACACTTCCAATTAATTTAATTGAGAACAAAGTACTTTCAATTTCTGTGTAGGGAATGCTATTACGTATCATGTCAATATCATTGTTCTTCTTGATATAACTGGCTTATGATCAGAGCATAATTTCTTCATCTAATTATTTGATAATGCAGTTAATCCACCACAATCCACTGGGATGCAAAATAAAGAATACTGGGACGAAATGCGTGGTTCCAACCTTTATACTATATTTCAAACCCTAATGAATGAAAATTTATAATGCAATTTACTGATTGTCAATTTGATTTAAGAATTCTCTCAATATTATGGGGAGGAATTAAGAAATTAAAAATAATATACAAATGAATTGTTGGCATCTGAACTCCGAGGTCAATAACTACAGTTTCCTATATTCGATAAGCTAGTGTTAATGTCAGTTCGGGTCAGCTCGAGTTGAAATATTTATTGAGGCTTGAAGGGACATAATAATTATTGGTTTCTGACATATTGTACAAATAGTCAATTTGTCAGTGGCATATAGGTGATCTTACATCAGCATCCGCTAAATCCACCAATCATATTTAGCTTCCTTCCCTAAGTAATTCATTAATTGCAGGGGACCACTAGTGAGATTAAACTCATGATGACTTGACAAGCCGAGATCGTTGACCAATCCAAACATGCCAGTGATATACTCTCCCAGTTTGGCACTATAGCTGACAAGATGGGGAAATCAGTACACATGCAAATTTTTACCTATAAAAGGGAGGAGGGGAAGGAATAGAACGATAGAGAAGAGGCTTCCACTAAAAAATGCTCTTACATATTATATTTCAAATATCTCCTTAAAAAGGACAAGAGTAACACATTTATAACTATAGTTATCAATAAAAGTTTTCATTTTCCTTTAAATTGGCTTGAACGTTATTCATACAATTTTCGACGTCAATAGTTTGGCGTTGAAAGGAGGGCCCCCAAATTGTGGAAGCTACATTTCCTTGTAGTCGATATCCACGAGGAAATATCATCATGGGTGATTGTCCAGCATCTAAAAATTGGTCTTATACTCATCCCAAACAAACCAGCAACCACAACATGCTGGAAGAAGACGAAGTCAAAACGAAGTTGTCGATCCTCAAATAACTCTAATGAGGGAGGCCATTGAAAAGTTGACAAATGTAGTCGACGGGTTAGAACGAAATCAAACTCACGTTCTACTGCAGGATACCTAGGTGGATTTTCCACACGGAGAAAACCAGACGACCTCCCACTAGAAGGACTCTCCAATTTTGAGGAGAAGAATCTTCCAAAAGCCGAACTGAAGAAATCAGGAGCTCTCCCACAGCGGCTAAGCCAGCCGCTAAGAGAACTAAAAGTGTATTTGATAGATTGGGTTCTCAACGCTCCTTAACGCCAATGTGTAGGCGTGATGAACCCCATGTCGAATGTTTAGTGGAATGACCAGAGCCTGAAATGAATGCCTTGAAAAAACGTATTGCTGACCTGGAGGCTAAGGACAAAGGAAATACGGAAGAATACTTCACAAAACACCATTCTCTTTTCACTGAGGATATCATTGCTGAAGCTCTACCCAAAAAGTTAAAGATGCCACAACTAACGGGGTACGAAGGGGAAGGAGATCCTCTTAGCCATTTAGACAAATACACTTCCTGGATGGAGCTCCAAGGAGCAGGGGATCCCATAATGTGTCGTGCTTTTTCACTGACATAGCACCGTACTCAGGTTGGTTTGGGTTTTTAGAAAAAGATTCATACGGGATCTTACAAAACCAAAGTGATGTACTAGTCATAACTATGATTGTCGCGAAAGTACAGATGCATCAGACTCTGGTCGGTAATGGGAGTTTGGTCAATGTGCTTTACTCCTGAGCGTTGGAACAAATGGAAATCCAAGAACGCTATCTCTACCCGTATTCCAGGAAGTTGTAGGGTTCTCTGGAGATCCTATTGAAGCACGAGGACAAATTGTTTTAAGTTTAGAGTTAGGAGAAATCTCTCGCGAAAGAAGTATCTTAGTGGATTTTATTGTTGTTGATATCCTTTCCAACTATAATGTCATACTAGAAAGGCCCATACTCCACAAGTTATAAGCTGCCACCTCGATATATCATTATTGCATCAAATTCTCTATCCCAAATGGAGTTGGAATGGTACGTGGAAACCAGGTCGAAGCTAAAGGTTGCAATATTGATTTGCCTAGCCCCTAGATCTAAATGATGAACAGCCAACAAAATCAACAAGCGGGGAGGACGAGGTTAAAAAGACCTAGTGTTACTGATCTTAGTTCGCTGGATCTACGTGTAAGAATAAAGGGGGGAGAACCTATAAAAGAGCTGGATAGAGTGGAGGTCGGACCAGGTGATCCACCAAAAGAGCTTAGAATAGGCCACGAGCTGAAATCATCCTTCCGAGATCAGATCAACAAGTTCATTCGACATAAACTCGATGTTTTTGCCTAGGACCATTCAGACATGAAAGGAATTGATCCAAGGATTATTTGCCATAAACTAGTTACTAACCCCACGGTGCGGCCAAAACAGCAATGACATCGACCTCTGAATCCAGAAATGTACGAAACCCTAAACAAAGAAGTACAGAAGTTGCTCCACAATGGATTTATCCGTAAAGTAAAATATCCTAAATGCGTTGCTAACCCAGTTCTTGTGAAGAAAAGCAATGGAGATTGGAGAATGCGTATAGATTTTATTGACCTGAATAAGGCATGCCCTAAGGATAGCTTTCCGTTACCAAGAATAGATCAGATGGTAGTGTTGACCTATGATTCAATATAGCTCCACTTGTTTTGATTATAACAAACAATACACTTATATTTTTAACAAGTTTTGTCTCTTGAGTTTTTCATGAATATATCTTCTTAAGCATTCAAAGACTCAAATCGTCATGCGTTGAAGAACAAGCAATCAAATGAAACTCGAAGAGAACAAGAACTTTGAAGATTAAAACATAGAAGTAGTTTATCGGAACTTAAA